TAATATTAATAATAATAATAATAATAATAATAATAATAATAATAATAATAACAGTTACAAGGTCCACCAAAATGAGGTCTCAAAATTCTGATCCAAAATATATGAATCATGTTTCGTAAGAATAAGAGTAATAAGCATAGGTAAGCATACAAAACTTGAAGCTGTGCTATTGTTGGATATCATGAACGGACAGGTTAATCAGAAGGTAAGCAATAATCTCTACGTACTGCTACCCAATCATTCATATCACTCAACAACCGGAAGAGTAGAACAAATACTCGATGAAATGATAAAAATGTTAACGATATTTTAACAAAGTAATGAGATATTAAATAATAATGATTAACACAAAAAAAGGACAAACAGTTACCTCAATTTACCTTATAATCTGATAATGGAAAACAGAAGTGATAATTTAGCAAATCTAAGAGAGGTTAACAAAGAAAATAAACTTCTAAGAGTTTAAAAAAAAAACCTGCAAACCATCCAACTGTATATATCGTGCTAAATCATTGGGTTGTTGTCGAAGTTGAGTAATTATACGATATGTTTGCTGTTCGTCGGTCATAAATGCCGGTGGAAGTAATCCGTGTATTCCAAGATATTGTCGTTCAAACAAACTAAATGCCATTCCCTGAAAAGGAATATGAAATTACTAAAAATTTCCAAGTTATTTGGGGGTAATTTCAGACTATTTAGTTGACAAAAAAAAAAACGAACACTGCAAAAGCAATAAAAGAAAGTAAATATTTTTTGAAAACTTAACAAATTATTAAAGTAAATCATATGAAAAAAAAAGAAAAGAATGATGCGAATTTTATCAACCGAAACAAACGTAAAATGAATTTTATGAATTAAAATAAATGATTACAATAGATTAATTAAGTGGAGTGATAAAAGTAAACCCTGAACAACAATTAATAAATATAACAAAAAAAAATAATTAGGTGTTTAAAGCATACCTTATTAATTCGGCTATCATTTAGCAAATCTATGCCACGTTTTTTAGGTGTTACACGTTCTGGTCTGTATAATTTATATAATGCTATTTCTTGTTCTGACATTTCATGTGAATGAGTTAAATCCGAATAATTAATTGCTGTGGTACATATTGCACGTATTGTACTGAAACAAATGAAAAAAAAACAATAATAAAGTTATATTCAAGTAATTAAAAATTAAATACATGACATTTGATAAAAAATTACTTACAGTAATTTCAAATATCAATCATATCAACTACAACAAAAGAAGAAAAAGGCATTCATTAATCATCATCTAAAAAAAAAGAAAACTTTAACTTGTCATTTTACCCTTTTCCTTTATGAGAGATTCCTATCCTTTCTGAGGTAGCTTTTTAGGCTCAGGATATCTTATCGGAAAACCCGGGAGAAATTTATAATACGTTAAAACAGTCAAAGTATGTGTATCAAAAACTTATAGCTATTGCCTTATTTCAATCATTTTTATAAGATAATTGATTCATTACATAAAAATTAAAATTAAATTCAATAAAATATTAAATAACGAATCATTTATACAATTCCCATAACATTGTAGTAAAGAATTAATGCTTTGATAATTAAATACTTGTAATCTTTGGTCCTTAATGAATAACTGATATGATAAATTCAGTTTATGCATATTGATGGGTATATTGTAAAAGTATCTAATCTGATAACCGTGCTCATATCCAATGGTATATTTCACAATTTCTGTTAAAGGTCACATTTCTTTGTCTAAGAATTAATCTTTTTATTAATTACACTCACAATATAGGAACTTTTTAAAATCAATTTTTTTTTTTTTTTTTTTTTGGGTTAAAATCCGATAATTAACGCTTTCCATATTTTCAACTCTAATTTATCTTTAAATTATCTTCAATTCAACATGCAAATTTCTTCCATTTTTCATCAATTAAAAAACTCACTTAGAAATGTTTTCGTATTTTATCACGAATTTGCTAATAAACTATTACCTTCATTAATTAACCTTTATCAATCATCTTGCATTCATATCAAACAACACAAACTTCATCATTAATCTCTTTCAAATCAAGTAACTTTTTTTTTTTTCATAACATACCTATGTTGCAATTTTAACAAATGATATCATCCTAATCAAATTTCTCACCTGATATTATCTTTGATGCCAATCAATTATATAATATAATTTGAAAATAAAATAAATATGAAATTAAAACATATACTAATTTCGTCATATAATTTCAAAAATTGTATGAAATAATTTTACTGATAAATTTGCTAAACTTAGAAAAAAAAAAATTAGAAAAAAAAAAATGATATTGAAAAAAGATTAAATAATGGATGAAAATTATTGATAAATTTTTTTTTTTTTCCTTACCTATATGCTAATAGTTTCATATTTGCCAATGTATTATTGTGTAATACAGGAAGACGTGCTGATGTCAATGCCATTTTCAATAATCTGAAACATACAATATAGCATATTGATTGATCTTTATCGATTGAATATTCCAATAGTAATAATAGTAATACATAATGCATAATCGATCAGTTATTGATTTATTTCTTTTGAGAAATTTTTAAAAAAAATAAATCGATAATCGAACAATTTATTCATTATATATTTTAAATGCATATATCATACATATATTAACCATAACTAAAATTTAGCAAAAGATGATTTAGGAAGCATTTCTTTGTCCATGATTAGCTAATTCCATCCTTTATTCCTAAAATTCATTTATCACAATTCTAATTAGATTAGGATAATGATAGTGAAATTTTAAGGATATAAATTATTGTTAGAGTATTCTTTTCATAGATTTATGGTTTTCTAACTTTTCCTTGATCAAAGATTATTCTTAGCTTTTTAATTTTTATAGCAAGAATTACAAAGTTTAAAGATAATAAATTTGATTAATTTGAAAATAAATTTTAACCAAAACTTTCAATGTATTAACTAAATTTTTAAGTAATATTATGGTATAAAATAACTCTTAACTCTTCCTTCTTTTCAATCTACCTTTGCTTTTTTTTTTACTGATTAAAAGTTAATCTTAAAACAAAAAAAAAAAAGTAAAATATGATCCCTTGCTTTTGTAGATTATCATTTGGAAATTACTACCTTAGATGTTAACCTGAATTTGGAATTAGAAATGTCCATTACTACCTTAGATGTTAACCTGAATTTGGAATTAGAAATGTCCATTACTACCTTAGATGTTAACCTGAATTTGGAATTAGAAATGTCCTTCTCTAGTTAGTTAATCCTAATAGCTAAAGAGAGATCAATCATTCTGCCCATGGGAGACACTTTAGTCTAACCTTTCCAATTGAGAATTATCTGGTATGGGAAGACCCTATCGGAGGCATATGTGACCCCGAGCACAGCTCTAAAACCCATTGGGCTACACAAGCTTCTATCTACGACAAGATATGTATATATATATATATGCGTGTGTGTGTGTATGTGTCTGTGTCTGTGTATGTGTGTGTGTCTGTGT